GCCTGTTGCTCCCTGCTCGTTAGGCCCGTTTTGCTCATGCTTTTGTTTTTTCTTCCTCTCCTAGACTGACTTCAGGATAAGTCAGGAGCTTGTGCAGACTCCAAGGAGCAGTAGAAAGGGCCAACTGCAGAAATCTCCTTCCCCCCCCCCCCCGGAATTTTAACCTTTCACAAAACTGCATATTCTCATTTTATTAGATCATGTCTGGTTTTGCTTCAGCCGTGGCTCTGAGTGATCTGCTGAGGTCCTCAAGTGCAGGTGAGCTCCACTGAGACTGCGGACAGCCATGGATCATACTTGGGAAGCCACGCACCATCTGTCGTCCTAGTGCGATAACTGAAGGAATAAAATATTGTGAAGACAAGGTCTGATTAGAGAAGGTAGTTAAACAGTAAATGAAATTACCCAAAGCACCACAGTGAGCAAATGGACTTCGATATTTGGTTGTTTCCATTGTTAATGCATTTTTATTTTTAAGAAGATTTGCAGGTTGAAATGAGTTGCACTAGCACCGTCTTCCCCCCCCCCCCATATGCTTATAATAAATCAAACTCATCCTGAAAGCTGCAAAATTGACTATTTATCAGCAGACTGCAAGGGAAGGAGTGGAAGTACGACTTTCTGAGGAATCCTCTTTCCTGTTATGCGGGATGAGAAGCATAACCAAATCCTCTCTGATTTTTTTAGAGCTTTTATCAGATGGAATGAGGCTTCTTTAAAAACCCAGAGCCTGAAATATCCAGGTTTAAAAGGGTGTTGGATTCTCAACTAAAAATATTCTTCTTGCAACCCATGCTCCTCCCCTTCTTTTGCAAGTTTCATTTTTAATAGAGGAGAATCCTGTGGTATGTTTTTGATTACCTCCAGGTAATTGCATTGCGTACAAGAATAGGTGGGGAAGCAGGTGTTCCCTGTGAAATACAGGCTGTACTACACTGTGCCTGGATAATGAGTTGTGTGAAAAGCTGAATGGAGTATGAAAGTAAACAGTTGCCTTGCTTATTCTTCTGCAACAACTTAGTTTATATTTAACTTGCCATTCAGCAAGTAGCTTTAAGTCTTTTACTCATCAATAACTGCTGTGCCTGTATTGAACATTTTGCTGCCTGTTCTTAGAATTTTTTTTAAAACTGTTATTGATTGACCACAGCCTGCTCACTTGCTGATGTCCCGCGGTCTTCTATCGGATATATTGTTTTATTTTTCAACAGCTTGAATGGTTGTCACTGTGTAGCTGTTGACTAATTCCATCATCATATATCATAGGGACAACAGTCAGTGTCTCTTTCTCCCACCCTTTAAATGAAGTGCCCCCGCTACGCAGCCATATTGTCTAGTTCGTGGCTAAGTAACACGGAGTGACTGGTAAGAGCAATATTTTTGCAGCTTGGGTTTGTTTTTCCGGAGCGTGTACATATGCCTGTGGTTCCAAAATATCAGATTGCAGGTGTCAACGCCAGCTGTTTCATTCTGGATTGGTAGAAAATTGTAAATTAATTTAATGTTATTAGGATTTGCAAAATTAATGTTGATAGCTTTACATGTTCTCAAGGCCAATTTAAGAAAAAAAAAAAAAAGGCCTTTGTGTAGCTGTCAAAACTGTTCAGGCAAAATGAAGATGAGGATGATAAGCTGCAGATCTGTAATGAAAGCTGCTGTTTGCAGAGGGACCTTCTGATGTCTCTCAAGCACCCAGGTCAGCCTTTTTCAAATGTTCCTATATCAAAAGTAAACAGACGGCTTTAATGCAGCATTTCTCGATTGCCTGCATCGATCTCTTCTGAAAAGAGTATTACTAATCACTGGGGACCATTTTCTGTACTTTTGAAGATAAAAGCAGCGGTGTGCGGAAGCGCTCTCATACTCCAGAAACCCCTGGCTAGATCTTTCATACCCAGAATAGGTTTCGTGCTGCTTTCCTCCTTCCTTCATCTTCCTTCTCGGCGTTCAGGGAGACGAGATCTCTATGCCAGAGGAGCCTCCTTCCTCCCCACCCAGCCTCTCCTCTCTGCTGCCAAAATGTCATCCTCTTCTCCTTGTGGCGTCCTGGCCGTTGCCATGGAAATACCTGGTTTTGCACAGATTCAGGACTTCAAAGCAATTCGGGGCTGGAAGTTGCACCTGGTTTCAGTGCAAATAGTGTCAGTCTTTGCCATGTTTGCTAATTGAATCCAAAATGCTTGTCAGCGTAACATTTAGCACCTTGGAAAACAGAAGCTTTGTGGTGCAGAACAAAACAGGGTAGTAAAGCTTTGAGATCAGGCGTTGAAAACAGAAATGACTAAAGTTTTTCCTGAAACGTTGCGTCGTCTTTATTGAGGATCTTACAGCTAGCAGTAGCAGCAGTGCCAACATACGGCATGGAAATTTGCGTTTGACAAGCACAACAGGAATAGAACCAGCTATAACACGATCTTAAGTGATCTTAAATTAGTGTTGCATGTATGGATTTTTGGCCAAAAGTTGCTGCCCTATGAAGAAGGTCTGGTGCAAAATACTGTCAGCAAATATACGTCGCTGGGATCGTTCCTGTTTCCCCCAGGGTACAATGTTGCATTATGGACCCTTCCATTTAATGTCTTTTTGATTTCTTTTCCAGCAAACTGTCCAAATATTCAGACTTTATATGCATTAACACCTTCTTCCTCCTTACCCCCCAAGGAGACTCAGCCCAGTTCCCAACCGTGAGTACACGTGGTTCCTGGGGAAGGTCTGCTGGCTGGCCTGGAAATCCCACGTGTGTCACGTGGATGGTACCCCAGCTGCAGAAGGTGCTATGTTTTATTTAGTCAACAGTGATAAATAATTAAATAAGACTTTTAGAAAAGCCAAAGGTCTCAGCTGGTAGGATTGCGATCAATGTTTCTGTGGCAGCAAGAATATGGAGCTGCCAAACGGCTTTAAAGGCTAGTGCATGTAAAGTGCATGGTGCCATTAGAGCTGTCCCCGTGCTGTCCTCCCGTGGTGCGAGGGGCCCGTGTTCTCTGTTGGTCCATCGAAATGGCTGGCGAGAATCCCTCAGGTCTCTGGGTATAAATAGTGCATGTACTCTGGCAGTATTTTAACTGACTGGAACACAATTAATTGCAATTATTTACCCTCAGGTCTCTGGGTATAAATAGTGCATGTACTCTGAAGCTGGCAGTATTTTAACTGACTGGAGCACAATTAATTGGAATTATTTAGTGGTCAGCTAGTAAACTTATCTAAGTGGCAGAGCTTGGCTGCAACTTGTGATGGGGCTGGAAAAGTCTGTCTGGCACTTGCGTTTGGAATAGTCAGGGTGTTTGTTGCTGGAAAGATAAGAAACTATATCTTGCAACACTGAGTTTGATAATGTGAGTTTTATAAACAAGTCTGCTAAAAAAGGATGTTGTAGCTTTGTCGGCTAAAGCAACAAGACAGGCAATAGGAAGACATTTCATTTTCAAATGAGGAGGTAAGTCTGGTTTGTGAGAGGTATTGGACTGAGAAGTTCCGCTTTAGCTGAAAAAGTGGCTTTTAGCTGCAGCGCAGGCGGTGCGATTGGATGTACTCTTTTTTTTTTCTGGCCGCTATCCCCAGCGTGCTGTGCCCCACAGAGACTTCTGTGGGCACCGGAGTGGACAGTCCAGAAGTAGAAGACTTGGGGTTTGGGGTAATGTCTTTGTGTCCTAGAGCTGAACAGAGATTCTGCGCTTGCTTTGCCTTGGACGCTGAACCACCTTTGGTACCAGCCAACCTAAGAGCCGGAGGCAAAAACCGGCCTCGCGTTTCTGCCGGGAAACGTTAGCTGGGTGACCCGGTGGCAAAGCCCTGCAGCGTGACTGCTGGAGCTGCGGTGCAAGTGAATTACGTTTGTCCTTGTGAATACAGACGTGCCTAGGATCGTCTTAATATTGCATCTGCTTCACTAAGTGATCCTTTAGCATTTCATAATACCTGAGAAGTGATAATACTGTAGTGCTACATGGACAGGTCTTGCACAGTGTATGGGAAACTGTTTCCTGTGGAGCTTAACCAGAGTTTATTCCTGGAAAGAGACCTTGGTTGGGAGAAGCAATTAAAGAAATGCTCAGATTACATCAAGGAGTGCCCACGTGGACTTGTTGCACCAAAACTAACATGTGAAATGGGATTTTTAAGTGCTAGAATTAACTTCCAAATACATAATCAAAGCAGCACTTAAAGACTGCAATGAGAATGAGAAAGCACCAGCTCATAAAAGAATTTGAAAAGTGAACATACAAAAGCAAACCAAGTTTAAAGCCTATGTCATCAATGTGGGGGTTTTTTTGTTTGGTTTTTTTTTGTTTAGTTTTGGGGTTTTTTAACCTATAGAAGAACAGATTAAACAAGTTCCTGGAAGGGAAATGCATTGAGATTTGGCGAGGAGACTTGAATGACAAGCAGCAGTTGTAGATCCTGAACACAGCGCTTGTTTGTGCTGGATGCTTCTTGGGATGCTCTTTCTGATTCCCTGCATATTTACTTGGGATAGGAGTCATCTTCCTGCAGTCTGTTAAAAAGAGATGGGGAGGAGGAGGGATTTCCAAGGCTCCTCCTGTATCTGCCGGGATTTTTCAGAGCTATTGCAGTGCCGCTGGTGAGCAGACTAGTTTTGTCTGGCACCGTAATAGTCAGTGCTTGGTTGCCTAAGGTGGAGTCTGAGAGGATACAGGCAGTGCAGCTGCCTGGCTCTGGTGTTGCATCATCTCATCTCACCCAAATCCTTGTCATCCCATGCAGAGGTGGATGTTCAGAGGTAGCAGAAGGCATCTTAATTTCCACTGTATTTTGTACTGTAAATCTTTTGTTTCGGCTGAAGGTCTTACTGTTTCTGACCAAACCAGATCGATATCAGTTTCTAAAAACATACTTCTGCAAAGACCAACTCAATCACTGGAGGCATTTATTTTACTGTAGCTTTTATTTATATGAAATGACTCTTTTTGTGGAAAGTCCCACTACAGGGGCTGAAATCAGAGCTGGTTTCTGCTCTCCCATTGCCCTGGCTGCACATGCTTCGGTGTCTGGCTGCTTTGCCCCTTTGGAGGGGGACAAAGGAGTCTGAGCTGTCGGCCTCGCTGCTCAGTTACCTGCGTGTCTCCATACCAGAGGCCGTCTTCCAGGGTCCTGTCTCCGGGACCCGTGAGGCTGGGTCTAGCAAACAGGCCCATGCCTGGGAGCGTCGCCGCAGCCGTATTGCGCAGAGCTCGCTGTCCTGCCGCCCTTTTGGCAAAGTGACCGAGCTTCACCTCAAAACAGGACCGGGAAAAGGATCAAGCCGGGGACTCTGTTTGCATCTGGCTTGCTATAAACAATTCCACGGAGTTATGAGCATGGCCAAATATACGGGAGACGCTGTGCTTCAATACAAATGCCTTGATAACCAGCGAAAGGCTTTGCAAGAAGCATGGCAGGGAAAATGGTGACTGTAAACATCACTGAAAAATCTAGAATACAGGTTGTATGGTGACTTGCCTGGAAAAATCCAGCCAGGTAAAACAGAGTTGTGAGTCAATATTGCCTTAGACTAATTAAACCCAGAGTTATTTGCTCCTGATCTCTGCACCTTGGTGGTTATTGTAACTGCTGTAATATTTGGCTTGCTCCACCAGTGTAAATGACAGCTGGGACTGGGTACGGTTATGAAGCTCTGTTATGGGAAAATTGGACGCTGAGATGAAGCCTAACCCTGGGAATTTTGTAGCAGAGAAATCTAAGCCTGCATCCCTCATTGGGGTCTGGGGGCTGTTGGATAGGTAAGGTTTTGTTTTCATTTATTTTTGAAGGGGGGGGGGAAGCGGTTTGTCAAACAAAATTTTAATAGCAATGCTTCGGCTGTGCTGGAGCTGGCCAGGCCAAGGGGAACCAAAGGAGAGGCAGAGACCTCTGGGATCAGGAGCCTCACTGGAGGCATGGGGGTGCAAGCTCAAATCCCTGGTCTGAAGTGGGTGCGCCTGGGATTCCTGATGCCCCTGATGAATGCCATAACCGAAGAGCTCTTCTCAAGGCCCGTGGCTCTTGTATCCGGCTTTGGAGGTGGGGCAAGGAGGAAAAAAAATTGTTTTCCTTGTAATTCAGACGTGCACGTGAAGCAGAGAAGGACTAGCTCACTTGTTCACGAGTCAGTGATTCAGATGGTAACGTCGAGACCAGCCTGTCTTCTGTTGTATTTTTGGAACTGCAGTTAATGCTGTTGAGTTGGTGCGGACACCTTGTTGTGGGGTGTCCCTGTGACCCTCCCAGAGCAGGGGGTGACTTGTCCTGTGCTCACAGCTGGAGCCAGGAGGAGTGTTTTTATTTTTGTGGAATACTTTATGATATTCCTCTCGAGTTTACCTACAGCTAAATTATTAGTTGCTGTTTTAATTTCCTTTCTAGTAAAAGAAGAGCAAACATCTCATTTTCCTTAGGCTGGCTTTAGATAAAGAGTGGGCAGCTTCATTTGTTGAGATTGTTCTGGCTACAATATGAGAATTAGCATTAAAATGCTGAAATGCAGCATAGTTAGAGGCTGTTCAGGCCTCCTCTATGGAGTGAGCCAAACACGGGTTAGCTGGCGTTCTCCGTCCCTGCAGTGTCACAAACCCGCTTTGCTTTCAGGAGAGGATCCGGGAGCGCCGTGGCAGGCGGCTGCTGCTGCTGCGGTGTTTGTGATCCCAGCTGGCTGTGGAGGGGCTAGGGTCCGGGTGGGAGAGTCCTTCGGGATCTGCAGACAACAGCATAGGAGACCTGTCAAGAGTTTTGGGGTTCTCTGGGTCGGAGCTGTCCTACAGATGCCAGCCGTGTCCATTTATGGGCAAATGTAAGATTGTTTTGTTTGAAAACTGTCTCGGTATAACACTTGTTTTCTGTTACAAGACTGTATCTGTCTGTCTGGCCCCTACCTACTGGGGCTTTGTATTTGTTGTATAGCTGCTCCCGTTCTGCTCTAGCCCTTCATGTCAGGTGAGTGCCCTCGTTGCGATGCCCTTTCCATTTCTATTTCTTTAGATATCTTTGATTTATTTTGTTCAGTGTGACAACCTCAGTCAATACAGCGTGGTTTTTTTTTTTTCTTTTAATAAGTAATTTTCCACTAAACTGCGTCTCCTGGAAGGTTGTTTTTTGTGTGCCTTGAGAGTGCAGGTTGTTTCTGCTGTGTTGGCACCAAGGTGCCCGGTCAGAGCTGGAGTCCCGCTGTGCTGGTTGCTCCGCAGGCACTGAATAACCAGATGGTCCCTGCCCCACAGAAGGCAGTCCTGCGGTAGGTGTGACTGCGGGTGTTGCCGTCAGAGCAGCGAGACGATGGCTCGCCTGAAGGGCGGCTGACAAGTATTTGAATATACTGCTTTAATTTGAATATGCTCCTAATTTTAATCAGAAGCTGGTAACAAACCGTGTGCATTGATTCCCAAGTGTATTTTAGGGGGTTTAAAATACGGATTCTCGGTTTACGCTTTTGGGTGATTCATAGAGAGGCTGACTTCCCTGGTGGTTCCTGATCACAATGTTGCAGAAAAAAATTCAGATCCCGAGAACTGATGACCTGATTGGAATTTAAAAATCCCCACTCTTTTTTTTTTAAAGCAATATCTGCCGTGGTTGGCAGCATGGCCCCATGAGCAGTTGTATCCCTTCAACTGCCGGGAGGAGCAGGGAGGCAGGAACAAGCCCCTGGGGCTGCGAGCAGACCACTGTGGCTGTGAGGGTACATTTTATATCTGTTCATTGTTTTCTAGCAGGTTAGTTGGATGTGTGAGGGAGAAGTGCCCATGACCTGCTGACGGAGGAAGCTCAGCCCGGCCAGGTGAGGGCCGTGAGCCATCTCGAAGAAGAAGGCAGCTCAACCTGCAGGGAGAGCCTGATTTTGGGGAATCCCTGAGGGCCCCAAGGCGTGCATCGCTGGGCGTCTGCCAGGGCTGCAACGAGGGGGTGGTTGGTGACGGTTCTTAGGCCGATCAGGGTCTCTAAAGGAGGGATTGGCGTGTCTTTGTTAGACACTTGTAACGTCAGATGGGGGAAAAGGAAGAAATCTGTTCTGGTGGACGAGAGGTGCGTGCTGCTTCCCATCTCTGATTCACCACTGCAGCCAAGGTCAAGGGATATGTCTCGCTATAATGCAGCAAACCAAAGAGAAGGACTGCTTTCCTGTTGCTGGGACTTGCTCTGTCCCCATTTCTGTTTCAGTGTTCCTTCTGTTGTTGAGGTTTAAAATAAAACACTGCTGGAGCTGCGAAGCCTGAGTTAGGATATTGACGTGGCAACAGTACAAGGGGCAAAACTGCACGCCGGGCGTAATGAAATGAAGGGCTTGCTATCCTCACCTGGCCTCGCCTTTCCGGAAGGTGCCCTGATAAGGGACAGCTGCGGTTTTTGGCCACTTGCCACGATAAAGCACTGAGGTAGAGGGAGCTTTTCTGCAGCTCTCTGAGAAGCGGAGCCCTCCGTGCCCGGGGCATTCCTGCAGCTGGAGTCGCTGCTCCGAGCGCAGAGTCGGGATGTAGGAGCTGCAGGAGCTGTATCGTGCCGTGTCCAGGGGAATTTCCCAGCGCTCTGAGCCACCTCCAGTCCCGAGGTCCACATCTCAGTGACATTCCCTGCTGCGAGTTCCTGACTCACTGTCAGCTCATCTGAGCTGCTGGGATACAGGTGAAATCACTGTGCGAGTCCTGCTCCCCCCGGGTTCGCGAGCAGGCTCTGTTAGTCACCCAGCCCGTCGAGCAGAGTGGCACAGGGAGCTGACCTGATTGCTTTGACATGCAGAGAGATGCTTTTGGCTTTAAATATGACTTTTTTCTTAATCCATATTCGTAAAAGGATTTCCTTTATTGAGCTGTCAGCTGTGCATAACTGACTTTGATTATATCTTGCAAAGGAGTTCAGTTCCCCAAATGATGCCATTAAAGGTCTCTCATACGTGCAAGGTTTGCTCGGCCAAGTCTTGACCTGCTGTTTTTTCCTCCTCCCTGTGCCTTCAGAGAGAACATCTTGATAAGCAGAGCCTCTCTTATGCCCACATCTCTGTACTGTGAACCCCTTCCCCTGCATTTTTTGAAAGCAAAGAGTGGAAAGCAAGATGTTATAGAGGCACTAGAAGATGAGATCTGGGCACGCTGGCAGCTCTGTATTTAAAAGGGAAGATGGCTAGGAACTGAACATTTAAGGACCAAACATTCAGCTGGACTTTTGCTGATTTCAGCAGGATTAGGGAGGGTGACAGCTGAGGATGGAAGTTACCACCGCTCCGAGCAGGGTAGGACAGGCTGGCTGTAAGAGGCATGGCACCTCGGGAGCAGGACAGCTGGGGTCTGCCTGGAAAGGTGTTTGCACCAGGGCTGCGGGGTGATGGGGGGACAGGCAGAGGGACGGCAGATCCTGTGGTCTGCTGGTATGAGCTGGCAGGGCTTAGCCAGTGGGGCTGCGGCGGACACGGTGTCGAGGAAGCAGTCTGGCTGGAGGACGGCGGCTGGTGGAGCTAGGGCGGTTCATGGGGCCATCAGTCTGGGGCTGCCACCTTCATTAATAACACCTACTTCTCCAGCGCTTTCTGAGCAAGGCTCAAACCTCCCTGAGCACTAAATTCTGCATCTCTTGTGTGCAGCTCCTGCGTCCTACAGAGGCGTGGGGGCAAATGGAGGTGATGTTGCTTGAGAGCCGGGGCGGCTCGCAGAGCTGCTCTGCGTTCCCCTGGAAGTGCTTTGGCCCTGATCACAGGACCATATTCCCCCACATCATCCACCTTTAAGGGCATTTCAGGCAGAATCCCACCCTGAAAGTCAGAGCACCCCAAGCAGTATTCCCCCAGCCTGTGGGCACTGGGAGAAGTAATTTCTGTTGAGAGTGCGAGGTTGCTTGAGGTGCCCAGAACCATTACTGTTTAGCAGCAGCATGTGTTTTGGTGTTCCCTTCAATGTCCTCCTTGTAGAGAATAACTGAGTTCGGAACGTCAGCAAGGTAGCTGCCAGGAGCAGTGGGAGACGTGGAGGGAGGACAACTTGCTTCCAACAGGAGACATTCAGCAAGAGGGGGACAGTCTGCTGTCTGCGTCGGAAGCTGATCACTGGAAATAGGAACTTAGGCGCTTAAAAAATCCTCTCCTTTCATAGTGACTCAAATTTGTAACCTGCAGTTGCTGTGTAGGGTTGGAACAAAGCTCTGTCTAGCCCAGTTTCTTAGCTCCAAAATACCGAGGAAGCAACATGGGCTGCATGGGAGAGTGGGCTGGAGAGCTGAGACCTGGCTCAGGTGCGTCTGTTGAGGCTGCAGGCACCGTGGGAAGTGCTCTGCATTGGAAGGGTGAGGCCGAGCCCTGCAGGTTAATCCTGTTCTGTCTGAGCTGCTAAAGCTGAGCCACGGGGAACCAGTCTCGTAGCAGTGGTTGTACCTGCTGGCTCTGAGGGGATATGTAACAGACAGCTTTAATGCACAAGGAGTTCATTAGTACCTACACAGTGACCTTGCCGTATCTCCGAAACAGGTCTGAGGGGTCTATATTCTACGAAAGGGGTGCTCTCAGTGGGAGGGGGAGAGCTGGGCAGTGTCAGTGCTGGCAGGGACAGGTACCAGTGGAAGAGCAGCAGTGCTAGGGCTACTTGGATTTCTTGCTCTGGTAGTCCTTGACTCCTCAGGCTCCTTTGAGCTGCTGCTGTGGAGTAGCCAGGCAGTCCTAGGAGCTTCTCCAAGGCTAGAGTCTGTCCTCTGCAGCCTGCTTACTTGGCAGGTCTGACCTCCCATCTTGTGTCCGCAAAAATTATGCTCCTAATTTATGTGGGTTCCTATTTATTTTCTTCTCCTAATTGTGCCCCTGATGTGCAACCTACACGACAGCTTCCTTTTGATTAATTGCACTGAAATGAGTGCCAGTAACGTGTCATGAGCAGTACAGACTCAGTCAGTCGGAGGGCAGCGCTGGTTGCATTGCTATGCAAATAGCATTCCTGGTCACATTTGGTGCCAGGTGATCATTGACTTTGGCATTGACGGGTAGTTACAGTCATTTGGGACAGCTGTATCACATGAAATTTGTCAAATCCCCATAAAATGAAAGAATGTAAAAATACTGTAAAAGCATTGAATATGAGATTTGGTTACCTTTATTAGGATGTCTTTTATTTAAATGATGCTTGATTCCTGCAGTTAATTCTCTGCTCATAGTTTTCCCACTTTGAAGTTTCTCAAAAACAAAACATCCCCTTTTTATTACCTGACTTTTTGAAATAGCTGGTGATGCTCGGCAAGCAAAGATGCAGTGCTACTCCATGAGACGTCTTGCGCCGTCAGAGGCGATTAGAGAAGTCAGAGAGCAGAGGAGGTTTCCTTACAGGCACAAAGCAAGCAGGGCATCTCATGCCCACTCCACCACAGGTCTCCTTACTCTGGTCTATGGCTGAAATTCAACGTTTTCTCTAACTGGGCCTCTGCTCAACAGGTGAAGCAGATCATGGAAGAGGCGGTGACGAGGAAGTTTGTGCATGAGGACAGCAGCCACATCGTGTCCTTCTGTGGTGAGTCGCTGGTGGCGGGATGTTGACGTGAACTGGGGGCTCGAGGAAGTTTGTGCATGGAGACAGCAGCCACATCGTGTCCTTCTGTGGTGAGTCGCTGGTGGCGGGATGTTGACGTGAACTGGGGGCTGGAGCACCCTCTTCACGTTGGGCTTTCCCTGCCCAGCGCTGGGGCTGTGGTATGCATGTTTCCTGGGGGCACGCTCCAGCTCTGGGGCATCGTGCTGGGGCTGGGGAGGTGGTTAGTGCCAGAGGATGAGTTGTTCTGGCAGCGGTGTGAGTCCCTGAGGCCTTCGCTCTGTGCTTAAAATACATTGAGATGTGTCAAAAGAGGGAGGGATGTTGGCAGTGTGTACAGTCATGTAAGAAATACTAGAAATAATCTTTTATTTTTAATTCCCTTGAGAATTGATTCAACAGAAAGTCTGTCAAGTCCAAATATTTCTTTGCTATTACGGAATAGGAATTTATGGAAAGGAGTCTTCAGTCTGCCTGAGTGCAGGAGCAGAGAGGCTGGAGGCTGCTAAAGAGTTTTAAATGGACGTTGTGGAAGATCTGCTCTGATATTGTGCTGGTTTTGGGCTTGTTTTCTGGCAGCTGTGCTTTTTACTTCACCTGCTTTTTTCACCTATTTTTTCTTCTACTGGTGTGACAATTTTGTGAATGTGGAAGCATTTCAGAATGGATGCATCAAAATCTTGGCAAAGCATTTTCTAAAAACCTCCCTGAAGAGCTGTTGGCTTTTGTCTGTGATACGTGCCGGGGGGACCCTGGCCAAGGAGTGTGGAGCAGGAGAGGAGAGGTATTTGTGTCTCAAAGGTAGTGTGGAGCAGGAGAGAGCAGCCTTGCTCCTGGTGGAACGTGTCATGAGTTTGAGGCCAGGTCTCAGCACCCTGCCCGGTGCAGAGCTCAGCAGGCCAGCGCATCCCGGGAGGCGCGTTTGGGGCAGCCCGCCAGCTCCCATGGAGCAGCACGGTTTGTGGCAGCCCAAACTGTGACTGCGATGCGGTAACGCGCAGCGTGGCTGGCGAGCTCGCTTGGCGGCGGTGCCCAGGCTCCTCTCGGCAGCTGCTCTGCACTGGAGGTTTCTGGGGGCTGGACCAGCCCACAGAGCGGTGCTAACGGCCCAACACATTGGCTCCCCATCTCTTCTCTGACAGATGAAAACAGAATTTCAACCTTTAATAAAATCACTGCTGATCATCAGAGGAGACTTTGCAATCAAGGTGGCAAAATTAGATTGTTTCTATTCTTTTGGCCCTTCTGTGCAGCTTCGGTCACCCGGTCAAACTGGAGAGTACGTGTCTGCCTTGGATACAGTTAATGCCCCAGGTAAAGCAGCTTCTTCAGCAGCTTCAGTTGTCCAGTCTGCCAAGTGCTGCCAGGGTCAGCGTCTGCAGGAGTGGGGAGACACGGCTGGTGGACTGGCAAGCGTTTGAATTTCAAACCTAGGCAGAAACCAATTGGTCTGTTGATGGCAGGGCAAGCGCTTCAGGCCATTGGATGAGTGAGATGGTTGTAGCCCAGGAGCCCTGGGCGTGGAAGAGGCCCTTTGTGCTAGGTGCTGCATGGATAAGAAAATGTCTCAGCCCCTTGGGGGTGCAGGTGGGATGGAGCTGGAGCCAGATGGGGGGCTTCAAGGAAACAAAGGGACAGCATTAATCAGACACGTGAGCTGTGGTTTTGTGCCCCGGCAGCCCTGTCAGTGTCAAGTGTTTACCCACTCACCCAGAGCTCGAGAGCGTGCTTTGGCAAGATGCCTGGTGCCCTCCATCTGCCTCTGTCTCCTCACTAGCAGCTTTCTGAGAGACAGACACCGGTTTTGGGAGATACCAGGGACTGCTATGGAAGATGAGTAAGTTCCCTGCTGTCCTCCAAGTTGGCAGTAGGCTTGCACCACGGTGGTTTTCCCAGGTGCCTTTGGCTTTGAATCTGTTTATAGCCCCTTCTCTTGGCAGTGTTACAAATAACAGAGCACAGTCAGCATTGCAACTGACCATTCTGCCAGGCTCCTGCCAGACACAGTGGTTCTCCCCCCAGGTGCTGCTCTCGGGGCAGCTTGGATGCAAAAGCTGTTGCTGTTGGTCACTGACAAGCACCGGGCAAGTGGTGGAGGTAGTTTGTTGAAGGTGGCTTGCTGAGGGCTAGAGATTGTGCTGAGTGTCTTACCCTGTTGTGCTTCCCCGCTTGCATGTGTGAGATGAGGCTCCATCCACCAAAGTCTGTGGAATTGCCCTCTTTGGGATGCTCCCTGAATTTTGCAAGACAAAGTTCCTATGCTGGACTTGTGATGGAAGTGGTTAGAGTTCCCTCTGCCCGCTTACTCCCAGGGCAGGATGTCTTGTCCTGGAGCGCGACATCTGTCCTTGCTTGGAAGGGGCTTTTGGGGAGTGCGGTGTGTGTGCCTGTGCCCCTGGCATGGGTAGAGGTCCCATCTGCAAGGTGGGCGCTGCACGTTCTCCTGGCTCAGTCTGATCTTGCACACTCGCTGGTCATGCACTGCTGCCGAGGAAGCTGTGCCTCTCCTGCCATTTAGCAGGGTGAGGTGCTTGCCTGCTTCCCTCTCTGTTTCATGTATTTCTATTGAGAAGATAGAGGAGGCATCGTCGTAGCTCTGCTGGAAGAAGCTGTGCTCCCTCTCTGCCCACTCACCAATTTTGCAGCCCTGGCGCCCGCACTATCCGCCATGTGCTGGGTCTCCCTACTCCCGGCTGCCGCAGTAGTGTCTATGGCAACATGCAGGGTGATGGTTGAGCAGGCAGACTACGGTGCCGGCGGCTGCAGAGCCGGAGTCTGGGCCCAGCTCTGCCATGTAGTGGAGGTGATGTTGTGGGCTCCCTTGGCCTGAGCCTTCCTAACAGCCACGGCCTTCCTGCTCGTCGCGGTCCTGGAGGTCTGTGGGGAATCCCTGGGGGCACTGCTGGGCAGAGCCTGGGCACTGCAACGTGCCTGGGTGCTCCTGGAGCAGATCTTGGGCACTTCCTTGTCCCTTGCTGCCATGCAATGGTGAACCCCTGAGCCCAGGAGCTTTCCCAGGCTCTGCAAAGCGCTTAGATGGCTGATAGGCAGTGAGGCCTCTGGCAGAAGCAACCTGTATTCCATTCTGCAGGGCACAGAGCTGCTGACAAACCTTCCCTGTGTTCTGGAGAGAAGCAGTGTTAAGGGAGGGAGGCAGGCTGTCCCCTGCAAATGGTACAGCTGCAAGGGCCTCGGGAGAGACCGCTACCAGCTGTTGGGAAAGCTACCTGCCGGTTTTACCTGTGGCTTGCTGTTTTCTGCCAACTCTCCTCCTCAGGTGACAGCTAGCCATCCCTGCGGTCCCTGCTCAAAGCCCAGCATAGCTGCAAGGGGAAGCATTGCTCCTGCAAACCGAGGAGCCTGGGCAAGCACAGCCGGGATCCGCTGCTGTGGGGTGTCTGCTCAGCATTGCTGCTGCCAGGGATTTGAGACGGGGATGTGGACCTTGCAGGGTCCTTGGCCGAACAAGTTTCTTTAAAGGGCAAAGCAAGAAACTCCCCTGTTGTCCTGTGGCTCAGCCCTGGGACTGAAGCTGCCAGGGAACCTCTCTGCTGCTCTACTCCAACACCACGAGCCCTAGCTTCCAGGTAAGGGGGTGACAGCCAGTGCCCATTTGGAGTCTGATCTGCTTGCTGTGCCTGTCGCTCTCAGCAGGGATGTTTGCTGAGTTAGTCAGCTGCACTTCCAGCACACCCAGGCTGGGGCCATGTGGCTGCTGCTGAGCAAATGCTGCAGGCAGTGTGCGGAGGGGGGAGCGGCACTCCTCAATTTACAAATAGCTGAAGGGCATCTTGCTAATTTGGAGGCTGGGAAGAAAATGACAGAAGTGATGACAACTAGCTTTTGAAGAAGTTGCTCTGAGAAGGCTCGTGCAGCACTGTCACCACTGAATAAGACTGTAGCATCCACAGGCATAGGCACAAAAAAGAAAGAAGGGAGCTGTGAGGTCTCTTTTTCTGCTTTGGAGAGCAAAGCCGCCTTCCTTTTCTCCTGGGCCCTCACATAAAAGACATGCAGGTGCTTGTTTCAGGCCAGTGTGCCTTTGTATGCTGTCGACCGAATGGCATCGAAAGAGCAGAACAGACTTCAAGGTGTGACTCATTCTCTGCTTTTCTGTGCAGCACGAGGCTTTGCAGCCTGGAATTATTTATAGCATCCTGCGACATGGAGCTGAGGCATCCAGGCACGAAGGGCTCGTTGGTTCCTTCTGGCTTCTTAATGATGCCGCTGCACTTTCACTGGCTTTTGGTGTCTACACCTTCTGGTCTGTCTGCCGTTGCTCTCTCATTTGAATGGTGTGTGCACCTTCCTCGGTGCTGTGGCTCTCCCTGTGAGCCAGGTGAGCTTATAAATAACCTCTTTCCCTGACAAGCAGAGCATGCTGCAAGCCTGGATCTGGCTAGGCAGAGCTGCCCTTTTCTCTGGGGAGAGCCACCTTCCCCACAGAGCCCTCCTCATCAAGCCCTCCTCATCCTCTGCGTAGCCAGTGTACCGCAAACCCCTTCTGATGAAACCAGTGGTCTGGCAGGAAAGGGCAGCTGCCCTATTTTGCCCGCGAGGGAAGGGTTTGAAGCAGACAAATGCGAGTTGGCATCTGTCACGTTCATGCTGCCCTGGGAGGCTGATGGAGAGCCAGCAGCAGGGCTGGGGGCCTGTGTGAGCCGAGGGGTTTGTGGTCCACATCAGTGCTGAGACTGCCTTCATGCTCAACCCCTGAGTGGTTTGAATCGTGCCAGGTCAAGAGCGCCCTCGGGATCCCAAATATCTTTAGTCTTTCGCCAAGGAATAAAACTCCCACCTTGCCTGGGTGTAGCTGCACAGAGCCCCTGCACTGTGTGTCTCTGCTGTAGGGATGGGGAGAGTCTTTCTCTTCACGGTGTCCATTGGTAGTGGTGACAGTAAGTTATGAAATGGGCTCAGGAAAATCATAAGGTTAAAAAAGAAATTACTGTTACCTCTGGATTTAGCATGGACCCGGTGCACTTAGTTTATGCGCTCAAGTTTCTGAGCCCTTGGGAGAGTACAGGGAGAGTTTTTCCTATGGAGACTGCACATTTGTGTGTAGCTTTGCCAGCAGGAGTAGTGTTTTGGAGAGGTTCAGGCTACGGTGTTGAGGGCAGACGCTGATGACTGCTTCGTCTTGCTGGAGCGTGCTGGGAGGCTTTTCAGCAAGCCCGGGTTTTCTCCCTTGTGCTGCTCCCTAGCTGGCAGGGAGGTGTGATGCACTGGCCGTGACGTGAGCAAAGCGATCTGCCGCTCTCCTGCGCGAGCATAAGTGCTCT